GCCGGCAGCCGGAGGAAGGCCGATTCTGCTCGCCCCTCAGGAACAGGGCGGTGGGACCGCCGAGCTCCTGCCTGGTGTGGGGGTGCAGGCTGCGGGGGGGCCTTTGCCGCGGGTCCCTGCTGAGGTTGGACTCCTTCTCCTCAATGGCCCGCTAGGCTCTGGTGACTCTGTTCTACCAAGTCAAAACACGGTCCAGACGGTAGCCTGATTGGTAGGCTGGGTGAAGCCGGTGCGCACGGTCGCCCGCTTGTGATCCTCTGGGTGACAGAGTGCCTCTGTGGAGGAGGAGCAGATGGGCTGGCATCCAGACCGCATCGCTCGGGGGCATGATTTTGAAGCGATCAGTGGGGAAGAGGGTGCATGGCCTGGCACCATATCTTGGCACTGATACACACTGGTTTAAACAAAAAGTAAAATAAAAGACTTGTGTAAAATGCTAGTTGGTGTCATTTGGCCCTGAAGGTTAAACGTGCTCGGGCTGGAGGAATAGCTGACAGGCCAGGATGAGCCTGGGCTTTTGAATCTGAGGTTCCTGGGGGTCCGCTTTGGGTGCAGTGTCTCCTCAGCGTCCCCTCTGCTTCCTTGCCTTCGCGGGACTGCCACCATTTTGTTCCGGGCCAAGTTGGCGCAGTAGAAATCAGATGAGGAAGAAATTCCCTTGGTTGCCATGGCAGCTCTGCCCTGGTTATGAGGAGGATGGCGGCTGCTTCACTCCCAGGTTGAGCCCCAGTTGCCCAGCCGGCAGTCCTGCGGTCGCCACGGGGCTTCGAAACAGAGCTTGCCGATTCGGCTGCCTGGTTTTAAATGCCTTTTAATTCACCGGCCTGCCAGCCGTGAGCTTCCACTGTTTTTATTCATTAATGATGAACCAGGCACATTGTGCCTGCTCTGCGGACCTATTCTTGGCTTCCCCTTTCTGGGGCATTATTGATTGCCTGGAAGTTGGTCTGCAGCCATTGATACCGTCCGTCCGTCCACTTGAATTGTGGGCTTGAGGCTGGCGGAGGGGAATTAATTGCCACCGCAGCCCCTCCAGCTCATTGGCTGCCAAGCTTTTGTTGCGTGGGCTGCCTGTCGAGCTTCAGGGGAACTGCTGTTGAAGCTGGCATAAATCTATATATTATTGGGGCTGCAATGTTTTAATCAGTTGATTTGAGCGATTGATGAAAAGATCATTTAACGCGCCACAGTTACAGCTGGATACCAGGTTACAAGCATTTATGTTTTCAGTTCTTCCAACACCGCAGGGGGTAAGCCCTATTGGAATTGGGCCGCAGCCTCCCTTCAGCAGGAGACCAAAGCTGCACACTGCCTCTCTGCTACTAATTTATAGCATCTTTACACGTCATGCTGTTTTCCGAAAGATCCAGGGAGTCTCTGGAGGCTACCTGCCTGAACTGTAGTCAGAATAAAACTGAGAAGGTCGTTGTCTTGCGGGCCATTTACTGCACAATGAGTTCTCCTGCCCTTGGACGGAGAAGCGAATTAGGCTCCTGGATCCAGTGGAGATGAGAAGAGGCTGGTGAGTCTGCGTGGCTTTGATCAACCGAGCGCAGAAGACCAGAGATCATAAGAGGCTCCCTCGGAATTGCTTTGGAGAGAAACCAAAGGCGCCGAGGGCTTCTGTGAAGTCGAAAGCGCCTCTGGTGCTCGTTCCTCTTCTTTTGAAGACGGCAGCCGCGGCTTTCTGCTGAACGGGCCTCGGGGAGGAAGCGCTGCCAGGCAGAAAGGCCTCTTCTCCCGCAGCGTGGTGCCAAAAGCCTTTTGGGGAAAGATCCGTGACCCCATCGGAGCCACGTTCTTCGCGTCCTGGCCCAGCGGCGCGGACTCCAGGGTTGAGAGTGTCGGCCGGTTTCCATGGGAACGGCTGCCTTCTAATGAGTCAGCACCAGCGTACGAAACGATCCGCAGCCCGGAGTGCCGGCAAGCGCGACGCTTGGGGGGGAGAGGATCTGGAGCCGTGCGTCACCGCTCTTCAAGCCTGTGCAAAATTCGGCGATGCCGAGGGGCTTGGGGAGAATCAGCTCCGGCGTGTCAAGCGACTGACCTGTCTGCCCCTCTTTCGCCAGTCGTGTTTTCCACGCCAGCCAAGGAAACAGAGTGGTTTGTGGGCGTGCGAAGGCGTGAGACCCTGGGCCGGCTCCTTCTCCTCGCTTACCACCCGCGCCACGGCTTTGAAGGGAACAAGTGCTTAAAACCTTCGCCTTCAGGTGCCGTGACAGTCGTGTTTTCCACGCCAGCCAAGGAAACAGAGTGGTTTGTGGGCGTGCGAAGGCGTGAGACCCTGGGCCGGCTCCTTCTCGCTTACCACCCGCGCCACGGCTTTGAAGGGAACAAGTGCTTAAAACCTTCGCCTTCAGGTGCCGTGAAAAGTTCAGGTGCACTTTAATGCAGAACGTGGGACCTCAGTACTTTTCCCCCCAACCCATTAACGGTCTTTTAAGTTCAGCGCCGTCGAAAACCGGAGCGTTTGTCCTGAGGTGTCTCCTTAAGAGAGGGTGGAGACCCAGCTCCATTTGTTCCACAGCGGGGTTATCATCTGTATAATGCAGAGCAAACAGTGACTCAATGCCAGGAATGGTGCAGGTGGCATTCACTTCCTTTCTTTCCCTTTTTTTTTTTAATTAAAAGGGTCTTATTTATCAATTGGTTTAATTCAATTTGTGTGGCCGCCCATCTCAGACCAGTGACTCTTGTTAGTTCCCTCATCTGCAGGGTAGCTTTTCGGCTTGCTCCAACAGGATATTGGAGTTACGGGCTGCTGATAGATTTGAAATGGGATTTTATGCGCATGCCATTTGTTAATCAGGACGGCGAATGGCATGGCTCGGAGAAATGCCCTGTTAAAGACCAGCCTTTGCAGGCTGGCTGGGCTAAGAACACACCAGGAAGAGCTGGCTTTAAAACGCTTCACTGTGGCTTCCTGAAAACCTGGCCCTGCTGCGCTGTGAGCCCAGTGCTTAGCTGCTGGCCTCAGTCCAGCCACGCCTTCCCTGACCCGACGTGGTGTGTTTCGACTGCAGCAGATCTGGGTCTCAGACGGGGTTTAGCTAGAGCTGCAGAAAATCCGGGAGCGCTTCCTCTTGCAGCTCTCGTGGCTTCTGAAAAGAGAGAGCTTCTGTAAAACTCAGGTTGGCTCTTAAAATTGCCCCAGTCCCCCCAACGTGCCAAAGGAGGGGCTCGGACATTTGCTCTTGCCCGTTCTGGGGCCGCGAGGGAGGTGCTGGCGGCTGGCCTGATCTGCCCTGGCTGGTCACAGTGGCTCTGAGGGGCCTGGTAGGCAGAGACGGTGGAGACAAACCAGGACGCCTGGCCAGGTGGGGCCCTGCCCCCAACCAGACCACCTCCCTCAGGGCCGCGTTTCCTTCTTTTCAAGGGCAGAAAGTAACCGGAGCTGTTGGTGGGACAGGAATGCCAAAACCAATATCTCGCAGCCTTGTTCGGCTGTCAGTGTTACGAGTTAATCCATAGCTGAGCCAGCTGGGGAATGTGGCAAAACCTCTCTGGCAAGATTTAAGGTAGTCTTGGCAGGACGGAGATGCCGTTCTGTGGGATGGACAAGCAGGCACCCACCTGTCCTAGCTGATGTGCACCAGGCATGGGAGAGGCACTGACGTATTGTATGAAACGCTTTAAAAAGCATCTTTTTAAGGCGAGGGCAAGGAATGTCACAACCGGGGTTGCGGTTTTCTCGGAGGGGAGCATCTCATCTCTGCAAAACTGCTGTGCTGCTGCTGAAGGGCACCGTGCGGGTTTTCTGCAGGGAAGGTCTCCGTGGAGGCAGCTGGAAGGATGCGGTGTCCTCAAGGCTGAAGCTGCACCCTCTCTGCCCAGCAGCCTCTGGCCTTTGGCTGGAAGTGGCGGGATTCCTGGCCGCGTGACTGGGGAAGGGGATCGGCCTGGGAGCTGGCCCGAGGCTAGCAGGCCGGCATTTGGAGCCCTGGCCGATCTGTCTGGCCCGACAGCATGGTTCCTCGATGTGGCTCGGGAGATACTCGCTGCTGGAGAAGTGCTGGAGAGGCCATTGCTGGCCCCTCGCGTTTGATCTGAACACCCTGGGCCTGTTCGCCGGAGTGGTTCCTCCCCTTCCCGCCTGCTCCCTTTCGCTCAGAGTCATTTTAACATCCTGCCTCCCTGTCGTGCAGTGCAGGCCGTCTGTCACTCTCTTCAGACGGGAGGGAGAATTCAGCCTGAGGGAGGAAATCAGGGCCTTGGCCTCAGGGAGGGGCTGCCGGGGAAGCTGTCAAGCCCACGGGATGCACTACGGTGCTGCTACTCGCTGGCTCTTCCCTTTTGCACTAAGGTTGCCATGGCAATGGGAAGGGATGCTGTCCCCGAATAAACGGCCAGTGATTTTTAAAGGGGTGAGGTTGCAAAACCGTTGGGAATGGATTTAATTCTGCTCAGGCCTGAAGTGAAGCTGCTGCTGCTGCTGCTGGCGTTCCTGACCTCGTCCTTCAGCATAATTCAGGACTAGCCCATCAGGAATTATTACTGTATAAGGGATGGCCAGATGTTTTCCCCCTCCCAAAGTAACCCTTCCCTGCATCTGTTTCTGTAGGCTGCAGAGCAGCCTTCGGCTCTCTGGGACCTGCCTCGATGCTACCAAAACGAGGCACAAAGTCCCCGGGTGCAGCTCAGGCGGCTATTTGTGGGCCTGGGACTTGGGGCTGCAAAAGGAGGGAGAGGCTGACTGAATCCTTTGCGTTCCCGTACTGCTGCACGCTGCAGATCACCTCAAAACAAAGGTTATTCTGAGGAATATGGAAGTCACGCAGCCCTCAGAGAGACACCTACCCTTTGTCCCTCAGCTCCCCCACAAGAGGTGAGCCCTGGGTTCTGTTTCTGGCTGTTGGCAGCTTGTTTCCCTCCTCCTCCTCCTCCTCCTCCTCCTCCTCCTAAGGACTGCATTTGATGCAGCTCTGAAACGTGCCTGGAGAGCGAGCTTTGTTGAGTTCACTCATTGCGCTATACCGTAACATCATTTGCGCACTGTGGGTTTGGGCTCAGCAGCTGTGATTCCTCAGTCAACCCTGGTTTGGTGCAGTATGTGACCTTGGCTACAGTGGGGCTTGTTCACAGTCTTTCTACGCTGGCGGTTTTTCACAAAGCATTCAAGAGGGTTGGATAGTAAATGATAGATTTCCCGGTCTCTAATGTCCTTAATTCAAATCAGAAGTTTCCTGAACCTCAAGAAAATTCTGTTCTGCTCACCGCTGTTGCCTCATCTTAGCTGGGGGAAAAACGGCTGTATTTTCTGGCTAGATTGGGAAAAGAGGGCTGAGGGAGACCTGTATGAATATCTAGAGGCACCTCGGATCTTGTATCTCCAGGGACCGTTTTTCTCCTCAAATGTTTGTCTTAAATTTGTTTTGGCAGAGAATCTCTTTTCGTTTATCTGATAGATTTTATCTGAACGTTGTTTTTTGCAGGTAAAGCAAATAATGGAGGAAGCAGTCACAAGGAAATTTGTGCATGAGGACAGCAGTCACATCATCTCTTTCTGCGGTAAGCTAGATGGATCCAGACCTTTTCTGTCCTTCCCATCAAGAGCCCTGTCAAAGAAACATGGGCGGTTTCCCACCTGGTGGGTCCTGGTGTTGGCTGCCATGCAGATAATAAGCAGGTTTCTTGCAGGCAGATGGATTGGCATCTCTGAAAATAAGTAGTTTGTTCTCTCTGGCGAAGTCTGTATCTGGCCATCGAGGGAACGAAGGAAAGGGCAAAAAAGCAACCCATTGATTGATTGATTGGTTTGATTTACACCCCACTTGCAGCGAGCACTCAAGACAGTTAGCAGAGCTCAAAAACAACAGCTGAATATAAAAAGTTACTGTTAAAATTAAGTACTAAACTCACTGAACGGTGAAACATCTGGCTAAAGAGGCATCTTTGCAGATCGCCGAAGCGCTGAGGAGGCGGCAGGAGCTGCATTTTGCAGCCTTGGGCACTGGGGGGGCCTTAGAGGCCTTAAGAAATGGGGGTGTGGTCAGAAGGGCTGCCAACATCTCGGTCTTTGGAGATGTTCCGCAGAGGACAGCCTTCACGGAGGGGGTGGTGGGTCTCCTTTGAGCAAGCCTCCGGGGGACCGGCGAAGGATGGTGTGGCAGTGGCCATTCCAGACCTGACTTCCGCAAAACATCATCCCCCCAAGGGACACTCATACGCAGCCAGGCCTGGGGGCTCCCCTCTCAGTTTTTGGGGCTTTTCCTTCCAGCCGCCGTCGAAGCCTGCGTCCTTCATGGGCTCAAGCGCCGGGCAGCGGGTTTCCTGCGGAGCAATAAAATTGCTGCCCTGTTCATGAAGGTGGGGAAGAGTTTCCCCCCTGCCGAGGAGCTCTCCCGGAAAGTGCAAGATCTGGAGCAGCTCATGGAGAACACGTAAGCCGTGGCTGTGCTTTGAAAACGCGCTGGGGGAATCGGGGTTAGGGTTCGGGTGCTCCGCTAGCCTTGTGGTGCTGATAAGTGCATCCACGTGGTGTTGGATCAACCCTTCTTAGGTTGCGCGCCATGCTTGGCGTGTTGCTTGCTGGTGCTGAGGAAATAGGAGGGGGGTCCCCAGCTATAGTTTAATCCAAACCCGTCCGTTCAGCTCCCGCACCCCTCGCTGTAGAACTTCTTTGTCTTTATTCTGATGGTAATTTAGAAAGCTGGAGTCTCCTTTCAGTTGAGTCAATTCCTGGTGACCCTGTGGAAAAGTCAGCGTTGCTTCCTCAGCAAAAGTATGGAAGAGGCTTTCCGTCAGAAGCCCCTGGGATCTGATTTGGATTCCCAATCTTGCCTACAGGTTGATGTTTCTTAGTGGCCTTCCATCCCAATCTGGCTCTGTTTAGATTTGGGGGGGTGGGGGGTGGGGGTGTCAGCCAGGTAGAACGCACGTGTAAAGGAACAGGCTCAAACAGGAGGTAAAGACGCCGACCTTGGGTGCCGCGTAAGCCCACGATGATGTCAACATGGGGGGCCTTTTTCTCTCCCTCCAAGGCGGAACCAGGGGCCCGGCATACAGGAGAGCGCTCGCAAGGCTCAGAAACCGCCCAGCCTGTCCCCGCAAGCCATCAAACACCTCTGGATCCGGACAGCGCTTTTTGAGAAGGTCCTGGACAAAATTGTGCACTACTTGGTGGAAAACAGCAGGTGAAGATCTCCCTTCCCACCCCCCACCCCCCTTTGCTGGGCTGCTGGCGATGCTAGGGACTGTGGCCGGGCAGGGCAGTTGGGCCTTTTGGACCACGCGCGGTCTGGGCCAGCCAGGCTCAGGCAGCAAAAGAGTATTCTGCGATATATTTAATACAGGATTAGGAAAAGTTAAAATGGGGGAGAATTGGCTCTTCTTCCCGCGTCTGTCTGTCTACCCAGTTGTAAGCCTTTCCTGTCCTTTCCCCCCACCTGCAGCAAATACTACGAGAAGGAGGCTTTACTCATGGATCCTGTCGATGGGCCAATCCTGGCTTCTTTGCTGGGTAAGGATCTGGAGGCTGGCTGGGCATCCTGGGGGTTGTGATCCACACACACCCAGAGGGTGTTGACGTGGGGAAAGCCGGTCGGCGGCGGGGCCAGGGAAGAAGAAGGGAACATGAGTTTGGGGGAGGTGTAACACCCAACACAGCTCTCTCTGGAATTGGTCCTCCTTCTTTTTCCTGCACCCGCAGTGGGTCCTTGTGCCCTGGAGTACACCAAGATGAAGACGGCTGATCACTTCTGGACCGATCCCTCAGCAGACGAGCTGGTCCAGAGACATCGGATCCACAGCTCCCACTGCCGACAAGACTCGCCCACCAAGCGCCCTGCGCTCTGCGTAGGTCTCGGGGGGGCGGTCAAGAGGAGGCCGGGGTTAGGAGCTGACGGTCAGCAGGGCTGGGCTGCCTTCCTGAACCAGGCCGCTCTGGGGGGAAGAAGGGGATTCCCAGCAAGACCCCTTGGGATTCAGAAGTGCAAAAAAAGTGGTCGAGAGAGAACGTGGCAAAACTCACAGTGTCGGTCCAGTTCAGTTGGGAACCTCGGCCTGGTTAGATTTGGGCATCTAAACTGAATTGTCCAACCCCTTTGGAAAAATAATTCTGCTTAGGGTTGGCGATTTTGTTTGTTGGTTGGTTTGTTTCTAGATCCAGAAGAGGCACTCCAGTGGCAGCATGGATGACCGCCCCTCCCTCTCAGCCAGAGATTACGTGGAGTCGCTGCACCAGAACTCCAGGGCTACCCTCCTGTACGGCAAAAACAACGTCTTGGTGCAGCCGGTGAGTAGCCAGGAAGCGGGGGGCCTGCTGAGGCCGGGCCCCGCTGCAGTGAGCTAAAGCCAGGCAGTGCGGATGCTTCACCTTCCCGAAGCGACATGAAGCGCCTCCGATGCCTTGTGCAAATTTGAGGACATCTGTTCGCGTAACTTTTTACAAGAACCAAGAGAATGGTGAACTCCTTTTCCAAGCAGCGTCACAGGTTTTCTAACCTGCTGGGATCTTGTTACTGTTATTTAACGTGAACAAGGATGCCGGATGCTGAAAACCTGTCCCAGTGACAGTAGAGAAGCAACGTCGTAAGTTGGCTCCGTTTCCTGTTTTCCCTCTCCTGATAGCGAGATGACATGGAAGCCATTCCGGGCTATTTATCTCTTCACCAGACCGCAGATGTCATGACGCTGAAGTGGACCCCAAACCAGCTGATGAACGGCTCTGTGGGCGACCTGGACTATGAGAAGAGGTGCGTGTTCCTGCGTGCTCTTTCTCGCGTGCGCCACACAGACTGCCTCGTAGCACAGCTAAAACCTCTTTCGTGCTTTTGATGTGAAAAGAATTCACGTGTCAAGCGAATCTGGCTTGGGCTTCCCTTCTGGTTTAATAGGGTTTTTGCCAGATCCGTGTGGGGCTCTTTGAATCCTTCAGCAATCTGGTGGGAGGGAGTCCCTGTTCAGGGGGCTCCTCCCCATGCCAGGCGTTGGTTTTTCCCTTTGCAGTGTTTACTGGGACTATGCCATGACCATTCGCCTGGAAGAGATTGTCTACCTTCACTGCCATCAGCAGGGTAAGGGAGCATCTGCCGTGGCTTGTGACGTGGCCCTCCACAGAATCTCAGGCTCTGACTGGTCAGCCGTCCTAAGAGGCAGCGAGTCACCAGTGCGCAGATCCTCGCCTAGTGAGGGCTCTGGATTTGCACCCAGCAACATCAAGGTCTCCGACGTCCATCTGGTGCAAATGCAAAGCCTGCCCCAGGTCATGGGCTGAAGCATCAATGTGGCCGGCCGACCCGTGACCCATCTTCAGTTTCCAGCCCTGGCAGGGACAGGGAAACAGCCCCTTGGGGTGCATCTTCACAGGGAGGATAGGAAGCATTGCCTAATTTTCAGAGGAGCCTTCGAGCCAGGCCTTACCTCTTGGAATGATGGCCATGCTTCAGTTTTCATTTTCTGGGCTTCTAAGGGACCCCCCCCAAATGTCCTGGGGTCCCAGAAGCACAACTTGGCCCCTAGCAGTAAATTAAATTTATTGTGGGCTCTCACTCTCTTTTCTCCTCTCTGAAAACAATCCCCAAGACGAACTTGCAACGAAAGTGAGCCTGGTCTCTCTCAGAGTCTCAGTCATTTTGGACAGACCAACCAAGGGGTTGGGTGTGCAAGGGAGGCCCCTTCTCAAGTCAGAGCCCCCAGGCCGGGGCCCTGGGTGGCCACGTCTCTCTGGGAGGCCCCTTGGGGGCTTTCTGAAATCAGTGCTTGAACTCCAAGGCCGTGCCAGCTGGACGGAGATGAGACTTTCCTCTCTTGCCTGGGTGAAGAGGGGGAGGTACCGTACCCACTCCTGTGCTCGCTTGGGTGTATCTGAGCTGGTGGTGGAGAGGGCCACAGCCTGCTTTAGGTGGCCCCAGTCTCTGTTGGGCTCCCATTGGCCAAATCTGCTTTTCACCTCTGCTCCCACTCTGTGCCCTTTCTTGCTTTCTCCTCCATCTTGCCAACAGTAGACAGCGGGGGGACCGTTGTCCTGGTCAGCCAGGATGGCATCCAGCGCCCTCCCCTGAGGTTCCCGAAGGGGGGACATCTCCTTCAGTTCCTCTCCTGCCTGGAAAATGGCCTGCTGCCCCATGGCCAGCTGGATCCACCTCTCTGGTCACAGAGGGGGAAGGTGAGCGTGAGTCTGACTTTGCTGGGGTGGATCTGCACATTCGGAGCTAGGTGTGGCAGAGGGAGGACCGGTTCTTGTCTGAATGTGCTCCCCTGCGTCTGCTGGCTGGGGAATTCTGGGAGCTGGCCCACGGATCAGGCTTCACGTTGGACCTTGGCAGTAAATCGCCGGTCTCAAGATGATTCGCCCTTAGTTCAGCTTCTTGCCTTAAGGTGGCAGAAGACTTGGACGTATTTGAATCTTCATTGTAGTCAAGAATGAGGCTTTACGCACAACCACTGATTGCCCTCTGCAGTGCCGAGATGTCAGAGATTTCTACATTTTCTCAAGGTTTAAACTTCCTTCCTCCCATTTGTCCTGGCTGACGCGTACTTGGCGAATTGCTTGGTAGCCTTGAGAGGCTGCAGAGATAAACTCTATAATGGTCCTCTCTAACCTGGAGCCTGCTGGGTCTCGCTGCCCTAAGCCTCAGCAGCAGAATTCTTGCTCAGAGCTCTGGAGAGTCACTTCCCCAAGCCACGAAGCGCTTCTTTGTCTCAGCGTGCTGTGTGAGCTCAGATCATTTTGGTCTCTTCAGTAAATGGTGGCTAAAATAAACTGGCTTTGCCTAATGGATGAACCAGGTCGGGGTCAGCTGTTCTGAGCGAGGTGGACCGGCAGCCGCTGATGGTTTCCAGCGGTCTCCGAGAAGGAGCTGATGGCTGCGGGCTGAGAACGAGCGTGACGTGCTGGAGTAGAGCTTAGCCGTGGAATCAGCTACAGCATCTTTTCTAGCTTTCGTTGGGCTGGCTCAGATCCACGAGCTGAGCTGAGGCGTTCCCACTTCTGTGTTTTGCTTCCGAAAGGGGAAAGTGTTTCCCAGACTGAAGAAACGCAACCTCCAGGGTCCCCCTGAGTCTGCCTCGGACAGAGAAGAAGAGGAGGCCACGGATTACGTGTTCCGGATCCTCTACCCAGGCACGCTGTCCGACTTCGGTAAGGGCTTGCTCGGGAGGAACAGGGGAAACCGTTCCGCTCCCGAGGAAGAGCAGAAGTTTCTACCCAACGGTTTGTTTTCAGCACGTTAAGATAAGCTACAGCTACGCATGTCAGACGTATAATCAGCTTTACTATTACTTTAATGTGAAATATTTCTGGAATTGGTTTAGTTTTGTTAGCTGCCTTGAATGCTAGCTAGAGTAGAACAAGGCATTGTCTGCATGACCTTTGGGGAGAGAAAGATCACTTGTGGCAAAGGAGCTTAGAAACATTTCATTGATTCAACTCAGTCTGTTAATTTACGGCTGCCTTGCAAAAGAGGATAACGTTAGTATAAGGGCTGTGAGTTTCTGCTCTGAGAAGGTTACGGTCTCGGCAGAACGGGGGGATCAGAGAGGTGAGCTCCAATCACCTTTCTGACCCTTTCTTTGGGGGAAGCCTTAGCAATTCAAAGATGTTTGTCTCCCTCCCCCCCCCCACCAACCAAGAGAAGAAGGAATTTTTACCTCTATAAATGTTCAAACCCTTTGTGGGTGGGTGTTGTTTTTTTTTACAGAGTGGTTGGGGTCCATCTTTATATTTCCCCTTTTCTGCTCCTTCAGCTGTTGTTAACGGCTCTTGTCTTCCCCCCACCTCTGCCAACGCTTCTGGGGAAGAGGCGGTTCGGATGACACGGGTCCCTGGCAAAGTCGTGGTGATCCCCAAATGGCCCCCGAGTCTTCCTGGGGTGATCCTTCCTTCTCCCACCACCTTGGAGTCCAGACAGCACCGCTGTAATGTTGCCGTTCGCCTGCTGGGGGCACTTTAGGCTCAGTGGCTTGGCTTCTGTGTTGGCATTTGTGACTTGGCAAGGCAGGGGCCCATCTTTCGGTCCCCTTGGGGTCATCCCCAGCCCATTCTTCCTGCTTCAGAGGCGCAAAAGCCTAGCGAGGGAAGAAGAGGCAGAGTTGGGCCTTTTATTCCTGGCAATATTGGAAGAACTCTCTTGGATTAATCATATGGGGTCTAATTCAGTTGACTAACTTGATTTACATTTGACTAAAACAACTCCAAATAAAAACGTTTCTCGGATGCAGATACATTAAGTAGAATTAAGAAAGATAAAAAGATTATGCCCCCTTGCACTCCTAAAGCTCTTGGTTTAATCAGCCCATCTAGTGGAATGAGTGTTACTGTCATCCGTATATATTCTCATTTGCAAATTGAGGCATGAAGATGGGAAGATGGATGGAGGAAGGGAAAGCCTTGGGCTCAGGGAAGGAAGATCTTTGGAGCCGCTCCCTCATCCGTTTCAGATGCCATCACGGGCCAAGCTCTCGGCTTTGCAAACTTTCCTTCTTTGACCCCTGTCAGCCTTTTCCTGACTTTGCATTCCCCTTCCTTGTTCCTCAATCAAGATGGTTCTGTTTTCTTGTGCCCTCAACTCTGCCTGATAAGGCAAATTGCTGCGTTCCTGGGCTGTCAAAAATATGGGCTCTTCTTCTGTGGTTAGCCCCCTTGAGAAGAGATACTGCTGGGTGATTGAGGACACCACATTTCGGCCTGGCGAAGTGATGCTGGGCTGAATTCTGTGCCCCTGGTTGGGTGATCATAAGCCTGGTGGAGACCTTGACGTTTGGAGCCGTTGCTCTGTAACAAAACGGTTCAGTGCCTTTTCACCGCCTTTGGAATCAGCTCAAGGTAGCCCCCCCAGCTCATCCAGAGAGCTCAGTTTGCTCCCAAGGAGCTTTCCCATGAAATCTAGAAATCCGGCAATTATTTATATCAGTTATATTATCATTGAAGGTTTTTTTAGCATAGGTATCCACAGCGGTTTACAAAGTGTTTAGAAGTTCAGCTGTGCAGTGGAACAGACAAATAAGGATGCATCAGGGAAACCACATTCTCAAAACAGAAGCTACTGAAGGCTTGAGAGAACAAACAAAGCAAAGCAAACCTTCGTGCCTTTCCTTGCACCCAGAGGATGGTTTGATTTAATCTTGGACAGCATCCTCCCAACCTGAGTTTATCTCTGGCTCCTGATTCGTTTGCACGCTTTGCGAGAGGTGAAAGCAGCGAGGAAGCGGCTGGAATGGCCAGCCGAAGAATCCGCCAGCCCGCTCAGCAGCCCCTCCTGGTGCAGCAGATGCTTGAAAAGGCAAACTCTTACCCTGCTCCTGGTTGAGGAGGGTTGCTGGACGTTTCCGGCTGACCCGTAAAGGAGAATCTTACGCTCTGTCTCCTCTGCTGTGTTCCTCGACGGGGTCTCCAAGCTTGAGGGATGCGTTTCCTATCGGCTTTCCCTTCCCGACCTTCCCTCCAAAGCCTTGCTGTGATGATTGGATGATGATCAAATAGTTGATGTGATGCCACATACGAAATGAACGTCCCAATCGTTCCAATGACGCCTTTTCCTTGTTTTCTGTCTCTGCTCCTGAGTCTGAGCTGCCTGTTCCTCCTTGTGCGACATTAACAGCTGTTTCTGGCTCTTCCAGCGGCCCAGGATCTGATGGATGCGCCGGGGAATGCCCTGCCTTCCATGTGGCAGCCAAGCGCCCGCAAGTCCTCCTGCTCCTCTTGTGCTCAGAGCGGATCCACGGAGAACGGCCCGTCCAACGGCTGCAGCCACGAGAGGTGAAGGAACGTAAGGGGGCCTCAGGAATGGGGCTGGGATGACCGCAGGGAGGTCCTGCGATTGAGGGAGGCCCAGAGTGGGGCGTGAAGACCAAGGGTCTGCCCGGCACGATGGGGCCTGGCAAGCGCCACCTTCCCTGCGACAAGGAGGATGCGCCTCTGCTGCTCTGTTGGGCGGCGTGTCGGTCTTTGCTTTTGGGGAAGCGAGATGAAGAGCAGCGCTACTGCAGACCGTTGGCAGGGTTGGCAGAGCCGAGGTTTTAAGAAAACCCTGGTCAGGCTGGTTTAGCCCTGAGTGAGAAGGAATGGGTGCCCACCGTGAGAATAAAAGCTTTTAGGAACCGCTGTAAAAAAAGGGATGGGGTGGGAGAAAGAACGAACAGCCACACGTTGCTCCAGCTTTACTTGCTCTCAGTTCTGCCTCTGAGAAGCAGGTTAAAAGAAGGGGGGCTCGGTCGGGTTTCCCTCCCCGGCCATCTCCTCCCTCTCTCCGCAGAGCCCCGCTGAAGCTGTTGTGCGACAACATGAAGTACCAAATTGTCTCTCGGGCATTTTATGGCTGTGAGTATTTCCCAGGGCGGGATCCGTCAAGGCCAGGCCACCGTTTTCCCTCTTGATCCCTTGGGGATGAAAATGGCACCCAAAGTCCTCTTCCTCTTCCCGTCCTTCGTGATTATGAGCTAGGGTCCTTAGGTGGGGAGCTGTTTGCATTTGGGGGAGCCCCCTCCTCTCCTCCGGCTTCCTGTGTTCCAGGGCTTGCCTACTGCCGGCACCTTTCTACTGTTCGAACGCACCTTTCGGCGCTGGTGAACCACGATATTGTGTCTCCCGATGTGCCATGCGGTGCCAGCTTGGGGCTGACTGCGGAGATTTGGGAGAAGTTTCTCCAGGACAGCACGGTACTGCAACGTCTCCTTTGGCGTCCCTCCCATCTCTTCCACCTCCTCCCTCCCCAGGTTGACTCTTGATGCAGGTTTTGCTTTGGGTGTGGAAATGTCACCCCAAAGCGAGCAGTTTCATGTAGCTGGGTCCCCTCTCGTCCGTGCTGCAGCAAATTGCCAAAGGGGATGTCTGTTAAGCCGGCCGAATGGCCCTAATGTTTGGGGGGTTGTCTGTGCAGCGCCGGGTCTCCCGGGGACCCTGGAGATCTCTTGGCACTTGCAGTCATCCTCACAGGCTTTTATCCTTGATGCCCCAAACAAATGTTGAGGGTTATTATGTTATCCATTTTATTATTGTCTTTTATTCTACGTGTTTTTAAAATATTCTGTGTAGGTTTTTTTTAATCCTAGTCTCCTGCCCAGATACGTTGTGCTACAGATAGCACAAGTTTTTTTTTTTTTTAATTCTGCTTCCCCTTCCAGCATGTTTAAGTTGAACTTTCTATGCAGAGCTACGAGGAGAAGGAGCTTCTACGGTTGGTCTATTTTGGAGGAGTCCAGCATGAGATTCGGAAATCCGTCTGGCCTTTCCTCCTGGGTCATTATCAGTTCGGGATGCTGGAAGCAGAGAGGAAAGAGGTGAGCCCGGTTCCAAGCATTTGCAGCCCCGAGTTGTTTTTAAAAATGAAATCAATGAGCATTCTCCCCACCCTCGTGACTCTTAATTCTAAGAGTCAGTGGAACGGGCTCAAAATGGAATCTTCTTTTGCTGAACCAGCCTTCTTTTTGGTTCTCTTCCTGGGGTCATTTAGGGGCTCTTGCCATGCTATTCCTCCCGTCTCTGTTGCTGGCAGGTGGACCTTCAGACTCGGGCCAACTACGAGCAAACCATGTCCGAATGGCTGGGCTGCGAGGCCATCGTCAGGCAGCGGGAGAAGGAGTCGCACGCGGCGGCCCTGGCCAAGTGCTCCTCGGGGGCCAGCCTGGACTCCCACGTGGAATCCCTGAGGCACCGCGATTCCACCGTCAGCAACGGCGTGAGCATCTCCTGGGGATGCCTCCGGATGTTCCCCCAAGAAGAGCGTGGCTTAGTTAATTGGATGCAACGGTCATGTTTTGGCCCTGGGGCTATCCGTTCCTTTATCCTGCCCACATCTGAAAACGGGCCAGCCAAGGCCAGGGGCAGCCCACGACCTGAAAAGGGGAGTGGTCCTGCTCAAGCCTTCTTGTCCCTAACCTGGCCCCCTCTGCCCATCATGGAGCATCCAGGCTAACCTCCGCTGCTTCCCTTCTCCCTCACAGTCTTCCCAGAGCATCAGTTCTGGCCCGCAGAACCTCAGCCGGCTGCAGAGCGACTCCAGCAGCAGCACCCAGGTGAGAAAGGGCCCCCCCCTTGTCAGGGTGAGCTGGGAAGGGGCCAGCAGGGCCTCCTGAGGGAGAGGCTGATCCCCGTCAGCCAAGCATTTCCAGCTCTGAAGGTGGAAGGCTCTTTAAGAGGGAATGTCATCATCAGCTGGCCTGAGGCTTTTGGACAGGCCAGGACCATCTCCTGTTCCATGCCAGCGCAGAGCTGGGATCTTTGCAAGCACTTTCCGTCTCTGGAAAGGAGGCGCCAAGCTGGTCCCGTTGTGGCTTCGCTCCTGTTTCGTCAGGTATTTGAATCCGTGGATGAGGTGGAGCAGACTGAAGCAGACGTTAAGCCAGCTGCCGGCAGACGAGCGAGTCTTTCCAATGGAGGGGTCCCCGAGGCTGGTTCCTGCTCCCCCGACTCCGGCCACCCTTCCTCCCAGAATTTCTCAGTCGCCTTCTCGGAGCGGAGCTTCAGCAACGAGGACAGCGGGCCGGAGGGAGGGAAAGGGGGAGCAGCCCAGACAAGTGGGGAAGGGGCACCCCCCACCGTGGAGAGCACCCTCCTGGACGGCACGGGGATGGGGGAAGGGCCACGGGGCCATCTTGAGGGGGACTTCTCTGCTCCCAGGAACCTGGATGCCTTCCTCCGGATGGGCAAGGAACTGCCTGGGAAAGAGGGGGGCTCCCTCGCCCTGGCCGACCGCTGGGTCAGCCACAGCGCAGGGCAGCCCAGCTCGATGGGGAGCGAAGACGACCTCTCGGAAGAGCCCGAGATGGAGAGCCTCTACCCGCAGCTGGATTCGCACTCGCTGGCCATCACCGACCTCACCTTGAGCGAAGTTTCCCCTGTTTCCTCCTCTGGGGTTACTTACTCGGTGAGTTGAGCTTTGCGGCTGCAGATCTGTAAGCTGCGTCTTAGGGCTCTGTTGGTTTTCTTCGGAGAGATATTGGACGCTCTGTGGTTATTTTATAGCTTCTGGTCTTTCTACCCGCAGGCATTCCCTGGGGGCCTTTCTCGTCCCCTGGGAACCCCAACACCGTGATTTAAATGGTGCAAACGCAGCCTATTCAGGTTGCAGTTTTAGTGACCCTGGTGTGCTGGGGAGATTATTTTAGCGCACGAATGGTCCTCGAGAGAGGCGTCGTCCTCCCTGCCCCCCAGGATTCCCCAAGGGGGGCTGGTACTGAAAGCCGCATCCCATCGGTAGCGCCCAGGGTTGGCCTTTGTATGGTTCCCGGCGACGTTCGCCAGGTGCAGCTGCGCGCTCCTTTCAATGCTCTCCCCCTCTGTGACTCCACAGCCAGAGCTCCTGGACCTGTACACCATCAACCTGCACCGCATTGAGAAGGATGTGCAGAGGTGTGACCGGAACTACTGGTACTTCTCGCCAGCCAACCTGGAGAAGCTGCGGAACGTGATGTGCAGGTGACGGTCGCCTGGGGCGGCCCCGGCTCCTTTCTAGAGGACCTGGCCCTCTGCTGCAGAGCCGGCCACTGGTCAAGCGATTCGTTGGAGAAATAAATGAGCCTATAAAACGATCCTGAAGTGGGAGAGATGTAGAGGTTCTTAGATGCTCCGTTCTCCCCAGCAGAAGAGGAGGGTGCCTTCTCCAAATCGGTGCCTGGAATAGTTAGAAGTGGATGATCAATAATGATAATAGTTATTATTATTTTGAAATCTATCAAGTGACTCAGAGGCATGTTTTGACTTAATCCCATAATACCAAATAACAATCCAGCACAAGTATTTTCCTGAAGAACCATATTACATACCAATCCAAAGGAAAAGAAAACAATAAAACAGGCTAAAAAACGGTACAGAAAAGATGCTGCCCTGGTACGTCCAGACCAGCGGAGCCTGCAGAGGGAATCAGGCTG